GCTTCTGTAAAGATTTACAGCCTTGAAAACTTTATGGGGGCAGTTCTACTCTGTCCTAGGTAGGTTGCTAATAATACAAATAAGGTACATGGCACACTTATGGGGGTGGGACTGTGTAAATAAAGTGTATGGAACCCTAACGTGGGAATTAGTCAGTTTTGCCATCCTGCTAGGCTTAACATAAGCTCTTCCAGAGACGGAGAAGGGGGATCTCACTGCCATCAAGACAGGAGAAGCAGCAGGATTAGAGCACATCCTTGGATCCAAGATCCCTGCGTTGGACCTCCGCAGCAGAGAGACCACAACAGCAGAGGCAGTAGAACCAAAACAGACAGGCGAGCTTCCCAGCCAATGATGTGAGAAAGCCTTCACACAGGAGGACTTCTGGTGGAGTGGGGTGACTCTATGGGCATCTATTCAGGAAAGCTACAAGAGCTTTGAAAACACTGGCCCGAGCAGGGTAGATGCCAAAGAGAAGTGTCCCTGTGGCACAGCTGAGATGCTGTCCTGACAGAAGAACTGTATCCTGAGTGTACCTGAACCTGAACTGTAACCTGTTATTTCCCTAATAAACCCCCTAATCATGAGTATTGGGTGAGGGTTCTATGAAGCCAGTGTAATGAATTAGTGAACCCAACAGAGAAGTAGTTGAATGCCACTGGAGGGAAGATTGGTGTGAGAATTGGCACAAAGGTTAGAGGGTACTGGGATGTCTGACTTCTACCTTATAGAAATGAGCCTTAGGCTACTGATGGTGATTTTCTCTCCTCTTCCTGAAGTTACAGAAGGTCAAAAGATGCTACCCCTTCATACATTTTACACCACGTAATAAAAGGAAGGATAATGAAGAACAGAATGTTTATGTATTTGGAGTGGGAAGCAGGGGCCAAAAGGATGAAGTTTGTTGATAGAAGGGAAGTACCAGGAAAAACCGATTATAAATTTCAAAATTCAGTTGGTACCTTTTTAGTAAAAGTGTATGTTCCCTACATTCAAAACTCAGAAGTAGAATATGTCTGCCACACCTGTTCTTTGCCAGACATTGTGCTAGACACCAGGGAGGGCATTGTGCACACATCTCTGTCCTGTACCCAGAGAGTTGACAAATCTAGAGACAGACAAGTACTTGGTGCAGGAGAAGGGAAGTACTGTGATGGAGGAAATGCAGTTTGATTTGAGGACATCTTGGATGGGCACTTAACTCAGACTTGGGAGGCTGAGGAGGAGGAGATGACCACCTAGAAGAGATGACTTCTGAGCTATCATAAGAAGGATGAGAAGAAATTATCCATGTGAAGACAGAATGGTACATGAAGAGGTGAAAAAGGCAACAAACCTTATTGAAGCACTAGTCAGTATAACTGCAGGGAAGTGAGCAATAGAGGGATTAGTGGAGCAGGGCCAAAACTTGAGGGCCTTGTATGTCATGCCAAATTCTCTGGACTATATCCTAAGGATGACAGAATGCCAAGATACAGTCTGAGGTGGGAGATACACAAACGATCTGCATTTTTAACAAGGTCACTTTGCCGTCAGGTGGAAAACAAATTCAAGAGGTGGACTAGAGCATACAGACTGATGCGGAGGCTGGTGGGCTGACTTAGGTGATGGCAAGTGTCAGTCTGTAGGGAGAAAAATGAGAATGTAGAGAAAGGAGAGAGAACTGATTGATTTGGTGACTAAGTGAACATGCAAGGTGAAAGGAGGAGTGGTTGAGGCTTGAGCCCAGGTCTCTGCACTCTCTTGATGCTGCTGTCTTTCACTGTGGTTCAGGACACAGGAGAAGGCTATTGGGTGCAGGGTGAGTAGTTCAGTTTTGTATGTGGAGTGTTTAAGGTTGGTCCTGTGAATATTCAACTGGAAAAAAGACTACAGGTAGCTAGACATGTGGCTCCAGAGCTGAAGGAAGGTTTCAGCTAAGACATACATTTGGGCACGGACACATGGGTAGCACTTAATGCCATGCTGAAGACAAGCCTTCATGGGAAAGTGAGTAGCACAGAACAGAGCTCTAAAGAGCACTGACATTTAAAGACACACAGTGGAAGAACCAAAAGAGCATTCCAGAAAAGAATGGTTAGTAGAGACAAAGTGGAACACTAGAGGAGGGTCTACTGACATAGATCTGAATTATGACTGAATTTCTAGAATAACATGAAGCTTGTGCAAACTATTTTCATGGATCTTTTTCTTGCATGGTAGCACAGAGAGTTATGTGGGGTAGTTAAGAGCATGGGCTTTGGAATAAGAGTAACTGAGTTCAAATGCAGGCCCTAACACTTACCAGATACTTCATGCCGTTTCCTTGTCTATAAAACTGGGTGAAAAATGAGATAGCTAATGCATTTGAAGGGCTTAGGTTCTGGAACTGGGTCAGTACTAAATAAATGTTAGCTGTGACTAGGAGGCAGTGACCCAGAGGGAGAACAGGATTCCCAAAGGGTCACATCAGCCTGAATCTGAACGGGATTGATGTGCAGTGGCCATGGTTCTCACACTGGCCAAAGATAACACAGATACTATGACACAGACAAAAGCACTTGTTCTGAAAGTCGAGAAGCAAGAGGGTCTATTAGCTACCAGGTTGGACAAAAACTAGTGGGTTTCAGCATAGAAGAGAGAGGGAAAAATTAGGACCAAAAGTGTGGCTTATCAAAGGGGCAAGGACAGCAATTCTCACTGTAGTTACCCATCAGAATTAGCCACGAAGTTGGAGCTCTTTTAAAAGCAGCTTGGGCATTATTTCTAGAAATTCATTAGATCTGAGGTGAAGTCTAGGACACAGGTCTGGGTCACATGCAACCTGGATGAAAAAAATCATAACTAGGCTGTCTCACAGTGATAGGTCTCACCCCAAGTCGTCTTTGTTCTCAGCCAGAGAACTGACTGGCCCCACCCTATTCTCAGTGATAAGGGGACAGAGAGTAGAAGAGTGAGAAGGCCAAAGAGGGGAAAGCATAACCAGCAGTATTATCAAGTAAAGGTCACAAAGGATTCACATTTGATATAGCCACAATGTTTTCATTTCTACTTACTCCTTAAACCAGGCATTACTCCAATGTATATTTTCTGCTTAAATCAGTAAGTGATATAATCATAAAGCCCACATTTATCAGTATTCAGTTCACGTATCAAGAGTCACATTTGATTTTCATACTAATCCCATGAAATTGGTTGCAGTATGCTGGTTTCAGAGATGTAGAGTTATTTAAAACAAGTCTACTGCCAGCATTCATGACTAGCCCAGCCATCCAATATGATTCCCATCCTCAATCATACTCCTCTTGATGGTCTTTTTTTTCCAGTCTCAGATTCCTCAACTGAAAATTTAGGGTGGGGAGGGTGAAGACCCTAAAACTCACTTCATCTCTAAAATGACCTACTCTCAAGCTCCTCGGTATAGTGTAAGCATAAAGAAGGTTCAACTAGCCAGTTAGGCCTGATTTAGAATTACAGTTCTGCCATTTACTGAGTAATACTGAGCAAATTATTTGAATTTTCTGAGCATCAGCTGCCTCCTCTGGAAATTGAGAATAACAACACTCATCTTAAAGGGCACTAATCTGATGATGAGGAGCTCTGGTAGCATAGTGGCTAAGACACTTGCCTGCTAACCAGACGGCTGGCGGTTCAAACCCACCAGCCACTCCTCGGAAGGAAGGTTGGGCAATCCTACTTCCGTAGTGATACTGCCTCGGAAACCCAAGGAGGGGTCGCTATGAGTCGGGGCCGACTCGACGGCACATAACAACAACAACAACAACAACAATCTGATGATGATGAATGGAATGTCAAGCACTTAGCATAGGACTACTCAATAATGTTAGTTCCTTTTTCTGAGCTCCCTTCTATTAACAATAGATAACACAGAACAATCATGCCAGTCAGGTAGGAGCCTAGGGCAGCTAGTGGAATGCCCCACCGAATGAACTTTTTCTTTCTTCTACTTTCCAAGCTCCTTTCCTTATACTTTGAGTATATGATTATATGATTTGGGGTAGGTAACTGAGTAGTAGTAGCTACTACTATAGTAGCTCTAGGCTAATAAATGTACCTATTCCTCAAACCAAAAAGTCAAATTCATTACTGTTTAGTCAATTCCAACTCAGAGCAACCCTATAGGACAGAGTAGAATGCCCCATAAGGTTTCAAAGGCTGTAAATCTTTATGGGAGCAAGCTGCTGCATCTTTCTCCCACAGAGAAGTTGGTAGGTTCAAACTACCAGGCTTCTGGTTAGCAGCCAAGTGCTTTAACCACTGTGCTACCAGAGTTCCTGCGAACTCCTACCCAAAATTAAGAACTGCCTGTTATGGACTGAATTGCGTCCCTAAAAAATAAGTGTGTAAACCTTAACCCTCTGTAACTGTAGATATAATCCCATTTGGGAACAGAACTTTCTGTTATATTAATGACCATATCTATATAGGGCATGTTTTATACCAATCACGTCTGAGATATTAAAAGAACAGATTAGCCACAGAAAAGGAAGTACAAATGGAGGGGAAGATACACACCACGTGAAGTAGCTAAGGAACCAAGGTATGAAACCTGAGAAAAGACAAAAGACCTTCTACCAAGAACCAACAGAGAGGGAAAGCCCCTAGAGCTGGGACCCTGAATTCAGACTTCTAGCTTCCTAAATTGTGATAAAATTAATTTATGTTTGTTATGTTTGCTATCCACTTGCGGTATTTCTGTTATGAAAGCACCAAGAAACTAAGACACTACCCCTCAGACAATATTGGAGAAGTCAATTAAATGAACTGGAAGTTTTTGTTCATGTTTGCTTTTTTTTCAGTGATCTTGTGTCAGATGATTTTTACCAAATGTCTGCCTGATGTAAGTACATAAAACCTCAGATTACAAGGTTTTCTCCTCAGAGAAACTGTGATGGCATGCCTAGAACAACATACCATCTCATATCCTCCTACTCACAGTGTGAAGTGAGTGTACTTTAACAGTGAACAGACACATCACAATCAATACCAGTGTAACTTACCCACTGTTGGGGACAGCATGATTCAAATGAACTTCTTAACTTCTTGCACTGAGAAGCATCCTCCATGTGCTCATCTAAACACTTCCAATACTCATCGCGTGCTCCCCAGCATGCCTGCCTTTCTTTCATAGATGGGGCTGCCATTCCTAGTAGGATCAAGCTGTTGGACAAAATAATATTTGACATTAACAAGGAATTTGGAATTTGAGAGAAGGTAAGCCAAACCAAACCCATTGCCATGAAGTTGATTCTGACTCATGATGATACTATAGGGCAAAGCAGAACTGCCCCCTACGGTGTCCATATTAATACTGCCTGGGAAACACAAGGAGGGGTCGCTATGAGTCGGCGCCAACTCAACAGCACATGACAACAATAATCACTACTGAAGAGTGACTGGTGGGTTTGAACCGCCAGCCTTCTGGTTAATAGTCAAGTGTCTTAGGCACTATGCTACCAGAGCTCCCGTTCCCTCCCTAGACCAATTTAAATCAGAATCTCTTGAGTGGATCTTGGTATGTTTTGTTAAAAGCTCCCCAGGTGGTTTTAATGGGCAGCCAGGCCAGAGAACCACTGAAATAATCTAGGAACAAACATCCAAACATTTTCTCTAACTATCCTACCTGTTGTTGTTGTTGTTATGTGCCGTCGAGTCGGCCCCGACTCATAGAGACCCCTCCTTGGGTTTCCGAGGCAGTATCACTACGGAAGTAGGATTGCCCAACCTTCCTTCCGAGGAGTGGCTGGTGGGTTTGAACCGCCAGCCGTCTGGTTAGCAGGCAAGTGTCTTAGCCACTATGCTACCAGAGCTCCCTACCTGTAGGCTCCTTTAAGTCATCTACAATATTTTCACTGTCCCAGTCCCTGCTTCTACTCAGTAGAGGTGTTAATCACGTCCTAAGACCTCACTACTGTGAACTCTCAAGAACACTCGCTTTAGACGCTCATCTCATAAGGTTTATGTTAATTCACGCTGGGGTGGAGTTAGAATTATGTCTCACTGTATGTCACTTAGGTTATTAACTCCTTTTCCTTGAGTCTGCTTCCCCATCAGGATAATAAAGGTAATATAATGATGGTAACAGTGCCCATTTTACAATGTTGCTTTTCGAAGCGCTGTACATGTTCAGGGGTGAAAATATCAAGCAGGGCAAGCAGTGCTATCCCATTTCACAGAACCCAGGTTGAGGGAGAGTGACTTTCCGGGTCCACACTCCACGCGCGCCCCGCCCGGACCAAGGAGCAAGCCAACCTCTCCGCCCGCCTGGAACCACCCCAACTCTTCCCCTCGGCGCTGACAAGTGCCAGAAGTCACGCAACCCAACATCTGTGAGAGAGCAGGGCGAGTCCTGCAGCTCCAATGTCCGCGAGGGCAGAACTCACCCTCCAACCAAAGGAAAAACACTAAAGCCAGCGTCTCGGTTGCTTTCTAATGACCCTCACAGACCTTACTTCCCAAGGAGGGGGCGGGACTTCCTGTTTCTTCTCGTGCATGCTAGGGTAACTTCCGGGCCGACTTGGAGGCGTTCCTTGGTTTAGAGGTGGAGCATGGGTAGATTATGCTTTCTTCTCAGAATGTTATTGTCCTTGTTAACACCATGTTGCCCCGTAGTTTTTCACAACTTTGAGGAACTATGGCCCTTTCGTAAATCAAGGTTTCTTTATGTCACGTTTAGGCCGAGCAGGTTAGTGTACGAGCCTTGATTTACAATGCGAGCCAGAGCATTTTCTGTGGAAAACTGGAACTGATAGTAGAGCGTCGCTGTTAGTTGCAATCGACTCGATGCCAACGGGTTTGGTTTGTTTTTTAGTATTAGAGCTGGACTGAGTGTTTAAAAAAAGCCGTGAGTTCCTGGCTCCTTAGATTTAAAAAGAAGAATGAAACAGTTCTGAAAGGCGGGTGACTAGCCCAAGCACACATTGCAAATTAATGACCAAGCGGACAATCCAGCCCCGTGGGTGGAAATTTCATTCAGGTACATTTTCTAATCTAATCACCTGAACCTGAACCCTTACGGCGCTCTTTTATGGATGGAAAAGGTGCTTGTACTTGTATTGGGAGACATCTGTTGAAAGAGTATGTGAGCATAAAATTGCTACCTGCTGAGATGTAATTGTTTGCGAGATTAAAATGTGTTTGATCAGCGTTTACTGCTAAGGATCCATGGACTTGTATCTGAAGGTAATACACATTGGTCAGAAGAATGGAGACAATAACTATTTGTATTAGAGTTTTTGTCTGATTTGTGGTCCCCCCTTTTACCCTCCCACCCCCGACTCCAAGATATTTTTAAAAGGGATGAAAAGATCTGTTCCCAGATATTTTGAGAGGATATAATATTTTTAATATATAAATGACTTCTTGTCTCAGCGGAATATTAACAAACACGTGTATGGGTAATGTTTATGGATAACGTCTCTGGTTCTCCAACAGATTCCATCTGTTCCATTATCTAACCAAGAAACCAAACTCACTGCCATGGAGTGGATTCTGACTCATAGCGACCCCCTTTGGGTTTCCGAGGAGGTAAATCTTTACAGAAGTAAATTGCCCAGTCTTCCTTCTGCGGAGTGGCTGGTGGATTGGAACTGCCAACCTTCTGGTTAGCAGTCAAATGTCTTAGGCGCTACGCGCGATGATTCTAAGTTATTATATAACTCATGGGCAATTTGCAATTCCCTACTCGGTGCTGGGGCTCTGAGTGTAGTGTAGTGCTTAAGGCATTTGACTGCTAACAAGAAGGCTGGTTATTCAAAGCCACCAGCTACTCCTCCGAAGGAAAATTGGGCAATCTACTTCCTTAGAGATATCGCCCGGAAACGCAAGGAGAGGTGGCTGTGACTTGGATCCGACTCCAGGGTAGTAAGTTTGGTTTTTTGGTTTTACTCGGTGCTGGTGGTGTTTGTTCCTTTGCATGAAGGTGGTTAACGCTCTCAGCTGCTATTTGCTATCAGAAAAGTTGGAAGTTCAAACCCATCAGCCACTCTGAAGGAGAAAGATGTGGCAGACTGCTTTCCTAAAGATTTACAGCCTTGGAAACCTTATAGAACAGTTCTACTATAGCAGTCCTATGAGGTGGCTATGAGTCAGAATTGACTCCATGGCAATTGGTTTTTTATGTGAAGCAATGTTCCACCAAACATATGCCACAATATGGGAAGTTCTTCTGTAATAGCTAATGGACTCCAATAGTGGATTGTTTTAACTTTACCAAAGCCAGCAACTTACATCAAGGACGGTCATATAAAGGTAATATTTTCAAAGAACAAGTGAGAGATACAAAAAGGGTGAAAGAGTCAAAAATATGTTTTAAAATTTAAATTTATATGTACTTTATAACATAACCTCAAAATATATGAAGTAAAGCTAGACAGAATTAGATATAATATTGAATGGTTTTAATACGTCTGTCTTTAATTGTTAAGATGAGCAAGAGAAAATTTTAAGTATATAGAAGATTTGAACAACATGATTTACAAATTCTACCTAATGGATATACACAGAACAATAGTACCAAAATCAGAATATACTTTTTTGTTTAAAACATACATGACATGTTCCCAGAATTGACCATGTACCTGACCATAAGCAACTCTTAACAAATTTTAATGATTGAAATGAGCTACCACATGCAATTACACTAGAAATCAATAAAAATCCACTGCCATAGAGTTGATTCTGACTGATACCAATCTTTAATAGCGGCAAAGTGGAACTGTCCCATAGGATTTCCAAGGCTGAAAATCTTTATGGAAACAGACTGCCTCATCTTTCTCTTGTGGAGTGGCTGGTGGGCTCAAACTGCCAACCTTCTGGTTAGCAGCCCAAGACTTTAATCACAGTGCCACCAATAAGCAGCCATAAAAACAAGTCCATATAATCCTTAGGCAATGTTTCATAATAGAAATGAGAACGTATTTGAACTAAGCAATAAAATACAAAAGCAACATTTGTGGAATGAAGCTGAAGCAGTACTTAGAGGGATATTTACAACCTTAAATAATATATTAGAAAAGAAACTAAAACTTTGTGAGCTAAACAGCCCTTTCAAGAAGTTAGAGAACGGAGAGAAGAATAAACCTAAAGGAAATAGAAGGAAGGAAATAAAGTTAAGAACAGAAATTAATGAAGGAAGAAACAAAAGCAGTGGTATGCTGGAGCTAGCTTGTAGCAGCTAATTAGAGCCAAATATACATACCTCTTTTCAATTCCATATATAGTAACATCAAATTGATAGCTTGAAATTGGTCATGTTGGGAGTATTCACCCTATGGAAGTCAGCAAACAAACTAAGCTTTTGTTTTCTTTTGTTCAGAGATAATTCACAGCATATCACTGTATATATATATATATATATATATATATATAGTCAGTGTTCACTTATTTCGGGAGGTGATCAAGAACCAATGGTACTGAAGGGAGAAGTCGAAGTCTTACTGAAGGAATTGGTGGAAAACAAAACTTCAGGAACTGATAGAATACCCACTGAGATGTATCAAGAAATGGATGCCACACTGAAGGTACTTATTTCTTTATGCTAAGAAATTTGAAAAACAGCTACTTGACCAACTGACTGGAAGAGATCAATATTTGTGCCCGTTCCAAAGAAAGGTGATCCAGTAGAATGTGGAAATCATCAAACAATATCATTAATGTCACATGCATTTAAAATTTTGCTGAAGATAGATCATATGATTGTCTGATTCAAAATGGCCAAAAACATTCCATTTCAGCCCATTAATGCCTAGTATACCAATTTTTATGCATTCCATTTCATTTTTAAAAACGTACAATTTCCCTATATTCATAGTTTATGCATTCCATGTTCTGATTATTAATGAATGTTTGCAGCTGTTTCTTCCCAGTTTGAGTCACGCCCCATCAGCAAATGGAGGTCCCAAAAGCTTTATTCCATCTACATCATTAAGGTTGACTCTTCTTTAAGGAGGTAGCTCTTCCCTAGTCATATTTCGAGTGCCTTCTGACCTGAGAGGCTCATTTTCCTGCACTATATCAGACAATGTTTCAGGGCTATTCATAAAGCTTTCCAGTAATATCTCAGACAGTGTTTCACTACTATTCATACGGTTTTCACTGGCCAATTCTTTGAGAAGTTGATAGCCCCTTCCTTCTTCGGAGTCTG